ATAAATATTTATAAAAATATAAATATATATAAAAATATAAATATATAATATATATTTATAATAATAATAAAAGAAAGGAAACAGAATATATTAAATTTATAGATGCAGTTTAAAAATATTTGAATGTGTTTAAGTTGGTAGAAAGGACCAAGCATTAATCAAAAGCCCCTTGAAAGTGACTGTTCAATTTTGCTAGACTTCTAAATAGAGTAAGGTCTGTGAGATGAATGTAAGCCTAAGAAGAACTGAACTTTTTAATTTGTAACCCTAATACATTGAACACTAATTATTTAAACCAAATTAAAAATCTGAGTAGTCCTTTTTAGGCACAAAACACACACTGGCCAGCACCAAAAACCCATCTAAACACAAATCTAACTTAACTGCACCCCCACTCACAATTACTCCCTTCCCTTCTGTCATTATGGAAGCCGTGTCTTCCTCTTAGTAGCAATTATCACCTCCATCTGAATTCCTCTGGGCCTAGGTAGGTTGGTTTTCCCTTCTCTCCTGGCTTTTCAACCTTTCTTCACTGGCTACTTTCCACATTTAATCATGCACACGATTCCTCCATCTGAAAACCAACAAATGAAAAATCACAATGACAAAATGTTTCTTTCAAACTTGTCTGGTTTCTGCTCCACATCTTTCTTCTTCACCTCTTAAAAAAGGTGCCTACCTTCTCTAGCCACCCCCAGTCACTCCTTCACCCACCACAGTAACTCTCCCATGGCCACTATTTCATGAAATCATTCTCATCAAGGTCACAATGGCTTCCTTGTTGCCAAAGCCATGAACTCATTTTACTTCTTGACCTCTCAGCAGCATCTGAAGCTTAACCACTTTTACATTCTTAAAATACTCTATTTCCATGGCTTCCATGCCCTATGTTCTGACTCACTTTCTTTGTCCATCTTGTAGTATTATGATTTAAGAAAGCTTCTACATGCTTATTGTGACACTGTAGGGGCTCCTCAGATTAAGCTACAATCCAAGTACTGTCAGCATTCCAAACAAATATGGATGGTCCAAGGTGGGCAGCTGGCATCCTAATCAGGAAAGTCATACTCCAGAGGCAGCTATAATAAGCACTTCTATCATCTGAATCTCTATTAACACCTGATGCTTTGTAATTAGCATACTGAATTGCAAAAATGGGTTTTAACTGGTAAACATGGTGGATTGTTAATTAGCATTCTGAATATCTGAAAGGGGTTCTAGATGATGAAATTAAAGGTATTCAAGATTTTTAGATAGTTAAATATATTTTAGAGCCTC